TTCTCCAAGGAGGATCTCCCCACAGCGGAAACCACCAAAGCGACTCGTGATCTCTGATCGCTGCGGCTTCTTTGTGAAGCCCAGAGAGCGTCTAGAGTGCGGCCTCTCAAACGTGCACTGTGCACAGTGCCAGAAGCGCAACACCCAACAACACTAGGACCGCTAAATTGCAGGGGTGCCTTCGCACCCAATTACTACTGAACCAGCATTCCCTTGAATCGCTGCCGGTGACGACGAAAACGTAAAAATAGATGTGGTCATGCGCGTGTACCAAAATTGGTCCAGCTTATGTAATTCACCCCACCAGCCCACCCGATTGTCAGGCCTTGCCTGCGATATCTGGTAGGGCTGCCGCCGCGATGCACTGCCCGACGGCCTTGAAGTGGTCGTCCGCGGTGTGGAACTGGATGTGGGAATACTCGGGGAACTCCTCCGCCAGGACCTTCTTTGCGACGTCGAGCATGAGATCGCCGCCAGCACCCTTGCTGACGCGGCCCAGGATCATGATGTGGTCAATCTTGTAAAACTCGCTGTACTGCGCAAGGGCGTAGCCAAGGTATACACCCATCGTCTCGTAGAGCAAGCGCACCTGGGGCTCCGTCGCTGTGTCCGTCATGGCCTTTTGGATCAGCTTCAAGCACTGCGCGTGGTCCTCGTGCTTGATTGTGCACATATCCGGGTGCGGGTACACGTAGTTCTCGGGCACCTTCACGCCAGCCTTCGCCGCGAGCTTGGTGGCCCCACGCTGTCCGAGGTACATGTGCGAGAGGCCGCGGTGAGAGCCCTTGCTCCAGGGGTCCGTCGGCGCCTCGGGGTTCAGGTCGAGGCGAATGTAGCAAAGCTCGTTGATCCAGCCCATGAGGTTGCCGTCCGCGTTGGCGTAGCCTCCGCCCTCGCTGCTGCCCATGGAGATGCCCAGGATGTTCCCCTTGCCGATCTTCTGCACGGCCGCCAGCGCCGTGACCTCTCCGTCGTTGATCACCTTCAGGGGAACGTCGCCAGCGACTTCCTTGGCCATCCTGATGAAGATGTCCACGACCTTGGCCTTGTAAACATCGGGGGGCACGTTGGGAAAAATGTCGCACCACGTCGCCTCGTTCTTGCCGCTTATGGTCCCCGTCGCGCTGCCCCCGACGGCGTCCACGCTCGGCAGCGCCGCCTTGGCCAGCAGGAGCGCGTCGACGATTGCCTTGTAGTGGTAGTCGGGGTCTGGGTTAGTCACGTCCCACTCGGTCTCCTTCGAGTAGAGCACCTCCCCGTCCTTCACCGCGACGGTCTTGATGTCGCTCTTGCCGAGGTCGAAGGCGAGGCGGCACCCGCTGGCGTCCTTGCCGCAGACCTGGGGCGTGTCCTTGGCCGCAGGCAGCTGGGCGGCGTCCCCCACGGTCTTCACTTCGAAGGGCGCGTCTGGGGTGCCACACACGTTCGGCATCGACAGCACCTCGAATTCGTAAGCACCACCTACTGCGAAGGCCGCGCTCAGGGCAGCGCAGATCTTCGGCGGGCCGCAGAGGACCAGCGAAGAGGCGCTGCGCTGCCAGATCATCTCTTGAATGAGCACGCCGGCCAGGTAGACGGACGCCTCAAAGCTCTCGTGCCCCTCCGCGAACACTGGGAGCTTGTAGCGCCCGCAACCGTCGGCCCGCGGGAGCGCCCACTCCAGGCTGTCGCTCGCCCCCTCCACGGCCTTCAGGTAGTTTCTCTTCGCCAGGATCAGGGGAGCAAAGCCAGGATCGAGAGGTGCGGGCACCTTGGGCGTGCAGAGCAAGATCTTCTTCGCCGCCTCAGGCATCGCCATGGGCGCTCCCGGGGAAGCAACGGCGCGCGGCCGAGGAGGCAGCCTCACCAGCACTGGCTTATGGTGCCGCTCTGGACAGCTACAGCTCTTGAGCCAAAATGGCTACTACTACTACTACTACTACTACTACTATT